CCCCCCCCAATCCCCCCCCCCCACCCCCCAAATCACCACAGCCCCCTCTCCGGGCCGGGGGTCCCCCCCCGTTTATTCCCCTCCCTCGGGGGGCAGCGGCTCGTAGCCCTCCATGTGCCCCCTGACGCTCCTCGCCACCTCCTCGGCCGTGCGGGATCTCCCGTAACAATCCCGAAAAACCCCGTCGGGATCCACCAGGAACGTCAGCACCGAGTGATCCACCACGTAATCCCCGTCCTCATCGCGGGGCCCGGCGCTCACGTACACCCCGAAAGCGGCCGCAGCCCCCCGAACCTGCTCGGGGGTCCCGGTGAGCCCCAGCAGGCGCGGGTGGAAATCGCGCAGGTACCGCTCCAGCGCCTCCTCATCGTCACGCTCGGGATCCACCGTGATGAAGAGCGGCTGCAGCCCCGGCGGCTGCGGGCGCTGCTGCTCCAGCAGCTCCAGGGCTGCCCCGAGTTTCTGCAGCTCCTCGGGACACACGTCCGGGCAGTGCGTGAAGCCGAAGTACAGCAGCAGCCAGCGCCCCAGGAAGTCGCTCTTGCGCCGCGGTGTCCCCGAGGTGTCGCGCAGCTCGAAGTCGCCGCGGGCCAGCGCCAGCGCCCGCAGCTGCCGGAGGTGACGGGAGCGCTGCTGCCGCCGCTTCTGCTGCCGCAGGTAAAGCCACGCTGTCCCCGCTGCCACCAGCACCGCCACCGCCACCAACAGCCGCCGCCGCAGCGGCAAGCGGGGGACACCGCGGGACACCGACAGACACCGGGACGGGGACGGGAATGGGCACCGGGAGGGGGACAGGAATGGGGATGGGGATGGGGACAGGAATGGGGACACCGACAGGAACCGGGAGGGGGACACGGATGGGGAGGGGGACAGGGATGGGCACCGGGAGGGGGACAGGGACGGGGACCGGGATGGGGACAGGGATGGGCACCGGGATGGACACAGGGACGGGGACCGGGATGGGGACAGGAACGGGGGCACCGACAGGAACCGGGACGGGGATGGGGACAGGGATGGGGACAGGGATAGATACCGGGACAGGCACCAGGACGGACACAGGGACAGGGATGGGGACAGGGACAGGGATGGGGACAGGGAGGGACACCGGGACAGGTGAGGGAGGGGTCGCAGCGAGCGCAGCATGGCCGGGGGCTGTGAGGAGGGGGAAAGGGGGCGTCAGTGACACCCCCGTGTGTCACCCCCAGCGCACCGCGGTGGGTTCTGAGCTCAGCTCTGGGCTCTGAGTGCCTGCCCTGAGCCCCCAGCCCACCCCCCTCCCTGTCCCTGGCCCCCAAATGTCCCCTGAGCCCCACCCCGTGTCCCGCTGCTCTGGGACCCCCATTCCGCCCCCCAAATGTTCCCCAGCCCACCCCTCTCCCTGTCCCTGGACCCCAACCCTGTCCCCCAAATGTCCCCTGACCCTCCCAGCCCACCCCTCTCCGTGCCTCTGGACCCCAATCCTGTTCCCCAAAGTCCCCTGTCCCCCACCCTGCTGCTCTTGGACCCCCACTCTGGTCCCCAAATGTCCCCCACCCCATATCCTGCTGCTCTGGGACCC